CGAATGGCCGGCAGGCGCACCCGCCCTGGGGTGCTTCATTTGGCGCCCTGAAGAAGGCGCAGAGTGCTGTGACCGCACGGGCCTCCCAGCGTGGGAAGCCATGCCATCGCTGTGGATCAAAAGGCAATGGAACGCCAGCTGGGCCTGCAGGAGATGCTCGGTGCACATTTGGGACGTCGCACCCAGCGCTCTCAACAAGGTGCTGGACGCATGCTCCAACGAGATCTACACCCCCAGCCCCGTCCCCGCGGCGACTAGCGAAGGCGCTGAGGAGTGGGGCATCTACGGCACGAGTGCACACCTGTCTCGTGTCAGCACATCCGCAAACGAGGGCTCCTCCGCAGGCGATCCCCTTGGGCTCGGGGCGCGGTCGGTGAGGATCCCCAATGGCAATGCTACGCTCGGGTGCGCTCTGCCTGCGCCCCTCCTCCCAGCGCCCCCCAGCTGCCCGCGCGCGCGACCCTCCGCCTGGAAGGGGGGCAGTCGTGCAGGCCAGTGCGCAAACTTGTGATGTTCCTGCTGGAATGGAACCACGAGGTGCACACTCGTTGGGCGACTTTCGGTGGGGAAAGGGATGGAGACAAAGTGGGTGAAGACAGCGATGAATCGGACTGGGCGCACAACCAGCTGCTGCGCTTCCTCCGCTCCATCTACGGGTGCCGCGTCCCCAAGAATGGACGCCCCCTCGCATTCCGCGGGGCGGCCATAGAGCTGCACCAGCCAATGCCATTGCGCAGCTGGTTGGGAGTAATGAGAAGTTCCAGGAGGCCTGGTGCTCCTTCTCTGCCGCGCTCGACTGCCAGAGAGGGCGAGGCCCCCCTGCGGCAGCCGTTGGAAACGCTGCACCACTTTTCATCCCTCGGGAAGGGCGATCTCGCAGGGGGGGCGCTGGAATTTCTCGCTGGCGAGCATGACGCCCGGGGCAGCAACGACGCCGGAGATCGCCCCCCCGCCGCTGCCCGGCACGAGCGCCCACCAGCCTTGGACGGCCGCGCCCCCGGCGATGACTCAGCCAGCAGCCCCCAGGGGCCACAAAAGCGACGAAGGAGATAAAGGAGGAACCATCCTCTGACAGGGGCTCCCACGGTAACGGCGACAATCCGTTCGGGGTAGACTGGGGCGAGGACAATCCGGAGAGGGCAGTCTCCATGGTCGACAGCACCCCGCAGCAGGACGAGGAAACCGAAATCGACGGCCCCAGCGACAGAGACGGCTCCCACAAGCGGACAGTGCTGTGGACAGTCCCCCCCGACAGCGAGGAAGCGGCCACTTGGGCGCCTTGCGCGACGGCCCGCTTCCGAGAAGACGTGGAAGAAATCCGCGACAAAGTGAAACTAGGAGGGAAAAGGGAGCAGGCCAGACTGCCGTCAGGAGACCATCCAGGAACGCGCAGCTCCAGCGCACGTGGCCCGCCAGGCGCCCAGCCCCCGGCAGGGCAGCAGCCCAGAGAGACGGCCGCGCCCACAGGCTGAGCCACTCCCACCTCCACATCAAGACGACCCCCCAGGAGGGCCCCCCCATGTACACGAGGTCCATCGACGAGGCCGACATCCAGAGGGGCAGCCAGCCCAAGAGAAAGTCACCAGACTACAGAAGACACTCGGAGGCGCATTCAACGGGGCGTGGACAGGCTGGGTCCGCAGGGCAGGCAGCCTGCAAGGTCTGCCTTGGGTCGACATCCATTCGGACCCCAGGAGGAACACAAGGGAGCTGTGCGAGGAATTCCTGCGGGCGTGGGAAGCCGCGGGCTACGACGCTTATAAGTTGGTGAGGCACCACCATCTCCGGGTGGAATGGCAAAAGGTCACCGAGAAATATAGTAGCCTACTACATCGCGGCGCAAGGGCCAGTGCACCCAAGGGGCAAGACAGCACGGGCCACCCGTGCCCTTGGTCTGACAGCAGCAGGACAGTGCCCACCCACCCCGTCCCACCCGACGTGGCAAGCCACCACGAACAGGCCCAGCCCTCCAGCACACACAGCGGGGCTTCGCAGCAGCACCCGTGGAGCAGGCCCAGAGCCGGCACAGCCGTCCCGCCAGCGCACGCCGACTACAGGGAGACCACCTGGTCGGGAGCATCCAGCTCTGGAGCCCCATGGCGCCCAAGGCCGCGATGGGAAGGGTGGGGCCACCAGGGTAGCTCATGGAGGGGAGCTACGTGGGGAAACAGGGAGAAAAGCACCGCCCCGAAAAGTGACGAGCAATGCGCCGACAAGCGGCAGCGAGGAAGGGAGCTCGCGCGCTGGTAGTCCGGCAGCTGGCCTGGCAGAGGCCCCCCGACTAGGGCGAGGCCGGCCCTGCCAACAGCCGCCAAGGCGTACGGCGTTGGGCTTCTGGGACAACGCCTGACCCCCTTCGCGGAAGACTTGCCGAGCACCTGTTCCGTGGGACTTCCCCCCCTAGGACGGCCCCACCTCAGACGATGTCTTGCGGCTCAGGCCGCTCGCCCTGACCTCTCGCTTCACTTTCCAGTTCCGCGGCTATCGGCTGCGCTCCCCTTCCCTCGTCGCCGCGTGCTATCTGTTGTCCTGCGGCTATCGGCTGCTGACCCCCTTTCTCGTCGCCACTGTTTCTACACTCAAGACTGCAGCTATCGGCTGCTAACCCCCCTTCCTCGACGCCTCAGGGGAGCGGCTTCCGCTGGAGGATGAGTTGCTGTGGGCCCCAGGGCCGCTGGGTTCCCGCCAGGCGGCCGCGCCTGTCGACGCAGCCAGCGGCAGGACGTGGTTCACCGTTGCAGTGGGCCACAGGGGCGGACTGATGCTGATGGTACTTCCTGGGGTTGAGGTACCCCCCCACCACCGCGATAGTCCCTGCGTTCTCGTGGGCCTCTGGCCCGCGCGGCCGGCTGAAATAATCCCGTCGTCGGTTTGGCCGCAGTGGCGGCCCGTGCGACGGGACGTATGCGGGCCGGGACGCATCGGACGCTGGCCTCAGCCCTTCCGGGTGCCCCATCCTTTGGAGACGGCATCGCGCAGTGACTTCCACTTCGTCGCCCGCAGGGGCGGCGATCACCTCTGACCCCCCTTGCACACCGGCGTGTAGACAGTGCGGTCGTCAGTTTTGGACTCATAGGTTGGCCGCTTGCCGGCTGCGGCGGACGCGGGCGTCGGCCATAGGCACCGCCCTGACGCTTGTGCTAGACGTTGGCTCCTGCCACAGGTGGGCCTTCTGGGAGCGGAGGCTCCGCGCCGCCTTGGTACCTGCGGCCATCGCGGGCGCCCTCTCCTGTGGTCGGCACCCTTCAGGCATTGGCCCGAACCCCCTCGGCGGCTTACACGCTGGCCCACGCCCCAAGAGGCAAACGAGTGGTTTTGGCACGTTCCGCCTGGCAGTCTGACTCCACCTGCGGGTCCGATCTATTTCCGCCCGCCCCCTTTCTGCTGGCGCGCGCTCAGCGGCTTTTGGGATCCGCGTGGGGGCGCCTGGGCTTCAGCTGGTGCCTTCGCGGTTGCCTCTTTTGTTGGCGCATGTCCAGCGTCGGTAGTTTTCTGCATCAAAATGGTACCCCCGCCACCTTCTGCTGGCACACGCTCAGCGGCTTTTGGGGTCCGCGTGGTGGCGCCTGGGCTTCAGCTGGCGCCTTCGCGGTTGCCTCTTTTTGCTGGCACATGTCCAGCGTCGTTAATTATCTGCTGTCTCGTGCGCTGTGCCCCAGCCTCGTTCACACCGCCCTCTGGACTTTTCCTTGCGGGCCGCGAATCCCAAAAAAAAAAATATCCCCACCAGTTACCCGCTCTCTGGAATCGTCCTTGGAGCCGCAGATCAAAAAGTATCCCCACCAGTGTGGATTGCGCCATGGCAAGCCCTGAATTCCGAGACACTTTGTCTTGTGCACGTGCTCGAGCTTGCAGGGCGATGTCCGCCGTCAGCTCCACCCCCCTCAGCTTCGCAGCTGCTGTCTGAATGGGCCGGCAGGCTTGCGCCTGTCTTAGCTAATTCGCCTAGTTCGCGTCCCGGACTTTGCTCTTGCCGCCTGGCCGTCGTCTCGCGGCCGCGACCGAAAAAGTATCCCCACCAGCCTTCTCAGAAACCCAGCCCTTCCGAGCTGACGGGGAAAAGGGGCGAAGAGGCACATCTAGGGAAACAAAGCGAGCACGGGGGTGGCCTTGGAAGATGTCTTCGGGCCATCCCTGGGCGCCGCGTGGGGGCGAGGGGAGGGGGGGCAGGGCGAGGAGGAGGACGAGGAGGAGGACGAGGACGAGGACGAGGTGGACGAGGACGCGGGTGGAGATGAGGACGAGGAGCACGAGGGTCCGGATGAGGACGACGCGGATGAGGATTCATGGAACGGTATTATTGTGGTTGTTGTTGCTGCTTGTGAGTTCTGGGATTTTTTTGGGCCTTTTTGGAACCTTCTAGGTAACCCTGGATGGCTTCCTGGGAACATTTTGGATGCCATCGATTACAGGATGGAAGGGGTCTCCAACTCAGTTCCCCCCCAGGAGCCCGCAAACCGCTTCCTGGGGCTCTCTTGGGGCGCTCTTGTGCGCTCTTGGAGCGGTCTGTGGGCCGTTTGGATTATCTGGGGGGCCATCTTGAGCCAGCTTGGGCTATCTGAGCCATCTTGGAGGTTATCTTGGGTTATCTCCGTAGCCATTTTGGCTCGAGGTTTTGAGTTTCCTTGGGGAACGAGTGGATGCCGCTAGTCCGCGGCTAGTTCCCAAGGGTTTCAACGCACCGCTGTGTGTGCCTCCAGGCGGCACAGCATCGAGTTTTCACGAACACGGTCGGTTGTCGATGGCGCCAGATGTCTCTCGGCGACCGCCATGGAGGCAGCAGCCTGCCTCTCGCTACGGAGAGTGGTGGAATCCGATCGTCTATCTTCCACTGCCTGGATCTGCGCCGCCACCGCTGTCGTGGGGAGCGAACACTTGGAGGAAACGCCAGTCCAGAGCCCAAGTTGAGTGTTCCTCGTGTGGTCGGTGGCTCTTCCAGGACCGGCTGAAAGCGAAGAACTGGACGTGTGAGTGTGGCGCAAAGTTCCAGAAGTCGCGAGGGCCTGGCCATGGCCGTCAGGGGGGTGCTGCTCCTGCTGATGGTGACGCTGTGCAGAGGCTCTGTGCTTTGGCGGCCAAACTGGGCGGGGGGGAGGACACCAAGCGTGCTGTTGACTCCTTGGTGGCCACCCTGCGAGGTCCTCCCCCCGAGCCCAAGCCGCGGCCGCCAGGGCAGGCCCTGCAGATGGCGGCGGCCCGCTTGCAGCGGGGGCGCAAGGCCATGGAGGCGGCCGAGCAGCAGTGGAAGAGAGCCAAGCAGGAGTTGGAGCGGTGCACGGAGAAGCTTCGTGCCTGCGCGACAGAGGTTATGAAAGCTGAACGTGAGGATATCGCGAAAGCCAAAGAGTTCTTGCCACCTGGGGAACTGCCCGTGCCACGTGGTGCTGTCCTGGACATCCGGGAGGTGCTCGACGGTAACCTGGAATTGGAGATCAGTCTGGGAGTCGACTTGGACGGGTTGGGCCTCGCGCAATCGGACCATGACATATTGGAGAAGACGAAGAGTGAACTCCAGGTCTGGTCGCGCAAAGCGGTGCAAGACACGCATGGCCAAATCAATGAGAAGTTGCAGGATCAGAAGGCCAAGGTCTCAGCAGTCCTCGAGAGAGCCCGCAAGAAGAGGAAAGGCAACCAGGGTGAGGCTCAGGTCGCGGCCGAACCAGCGAACCAGGGAGCAGCGTCCAGCGCGCCCCGTGGAGGTGCCGACGCAGGCTCTGAGGCGCCTGCGCGAGGAGCGGCGACGGGTGCTGGCCGAGGCTCGGCAGCAGACCCCGCCCCTCGCGCCGCGCCAGCTCCTGGGGATGAGCATTCGCTCAAGGCCGCGTCTGGCCGCTTGCAGGGTGAGGTTGACGCCCTCGTCCGCAACCTGCGTGAGCAGAAGACGGAGGGGGAGTCATCGTGCGGGTGACGCGCACACTCTGTATATGAGGAACCTCGGGCCGGGGGCACTCGTCCAAATGCCTTCTTGCTGAGGGCTTGTACGACATAGTCATTCTGCCCGAGTTGCACGTTCTTCCAGATATGTCTACAGAGGTGCTCCATGATTGGAGCCATAGAGGATACCAACCAGTGGTGGCCCCATCCTACCAGTTGAAGTCGACGGCCAAGGCTGGTGGGATTTCTATGGGAGTCAGGAAGAGATTTCAGTTTCAGAGTTTTCGTCACCTAGCGACCGACAGACACATGCAGATGGGGCTCCGTCAGATCCAGGAGCCAGAGACCACCATGTCGGGAATTGATTTCAGAGACGTTGTGGGATGTCCGCTCAAGATTGGTGGCCAGTCTATTTCCGTCTTCGGCATCTACTTGACAGCCGATGTGGGCATCACAGGTATGAACATGTCAAAGCTCATTCAGTTAGGTACGCTGTTGCAGTCTATCAAGACGCCTTGGATGGTCATTGGGGACTTCAACGCAACCCCGATCGAGGTGCTGAAGTCAGGCTGGCCATCCCTGGTGGACGGGTTGATTCGTGCCCCCTCGGGCGCAGAATGCACATGCATGGCTGGCCAAAAGAGGGTGATAGATTTCGCAGTTCTGTCACGCTCGATGGTTCGGTTCGTCTGCTCGATGACGGTTGATGATGAAGCGTGCTTTGGAGCAGGAAAGTCGCATTTCGGCATCTTGACAAAGTTGCAGCTGAGGTAAGAGAAGGCCCAGAGATGGGTACCCAGTATGCCGCAGAGATTTCAGTACCCACCGAGGCCCAAGAAGCAAGCGGATCCGTCCAGTAAGAGGTCTCGCCAGCGTCTGCTGCGCCAGCTCAGTGAGGCCGCCGCTGAGCCAGAGCCAGAACTACCACGTCCTCCGTGTTGAGCGCGTCGGCAGATCAGGTTCAAGATGCCGCCTCCCTTGCAGTGCTGGGGGACGCAGGATTGGGGCCTGGAGTCTGATGAGGGCCCGCAGCAGGAGGATGACGGCGAGTCGACTGGCGAGGACGACGGCAAGTTCGGCCAGAGAGGCGCCGAGGGCACAGGGGGCGCGGCGATGGGTGCTGGTGGACCAGCAGACCCCGCCCCCCCTGGAGGTGCGGCGACGAGTGCAGGAGGCCCTGCAGACCCCGCCCCTCCAGCAGCGCAGGGAGAGAGCGTGTCGCAGCTGCTCCTCGAGACGGCGCCAGAAGCCCAGGACAGGCTCTGGCGCGATCTGTCGGCCAGCCGGTCACGGGGCACGCCGCCGAGGTACATGGTAGATTCGAAGGCGTTTCGGTTGGATCCCGAGGCGTCGCTTTCTGTTGGCAGGTCCTTCGCGGAGTGGACTGTGAAGTTTGAGTCGTTTTTTTATTTTTATTTTTTTTGCACGATGTTGGAGATGCATCCGAGTGATCAAAATAAGTACCGAGGTAGAAGTTCCCTTGGAGAGCTCACTAGGAGACCCGAGGCCCAAGGAGCCCACTTTGTTTCGCCTAGGGACCCTGTGGCGCACTGGTGGGCCACGGTGGATTTCCTGTTGAAGGACCTTGTGGGCCTCCTGGACCAGAGGGGCTCTAGTAGGGCCAGTAGGTTAGGCGAGCGCTTGAGGGACTTGTCTGTCTCTGTTCCCATCTCTCCTCTGATGCCTTTCCCTCCTCCTGTGCGCGCCAAGTGGTGCCGAAGTCTCAGGGTGATCTGGGAGCTCACGGATGACTCCATCAGGGACCTCAGTAGGCTGGCCGACTCCAATTCGGTCAGAGCCCAGAGGTCAGTCTTCCATGCCAGTCTCGGCAAGTTCCACCAGTGGGTCCTGCAGCAAGACCAGCTAGGTGGACGAGGGCTGTACAACAGGCTCAAAGACAAAACAGTTTTTGTATGCGAAATGAGGGCTCGGGGTGACCCAGCTCTAGTTTCTCGTGCACGCATGGAGGCCAGGGCCAGAGTGTGGAGCCCACGGTGGAAGGGGGATCCCTCCACTTTCAAGCGTGTTTTCGAACTTTGGAGGAAAGCCCAGTCGAAGGCTAAGGCACTCGAGCCCAGGCCGATCACTGTGGAGTAGATTGCCAGGCTCATCTTTGCCCTGCCAAACCGCGCACCAGGGGTAGACCAGATGACGAAGAAGGACTTCGTCTGGCTGCCTAGGGCGGGCCTGCAGGATCTGGCAGGGCTTCTCTCCCAGGTGGAAAGAGAGTGCTGTTGGCCATGGCAAGTCATGGCCTTTCTTGTCACCCTCCAGGTCAAGGACTTGGAAGCGGATCGTGCGATTGGCCTGTTTGCCTGGCTGGTGAGATTCTGGGGCAGGTTGAGGAACGATGGCAGAGCTGCCTGGACGACGGACACTGCTGGCGCGTGGGACACGGCGCTGGCGGGCTCCCCGGCCCTGCAAGTTGCGTTGCTGCGCCTTTTTTCGAGATGAGGAAGCTGCCAAGTCAAGCTTCCCCGACTTTCACAATGGTAGTCTGCTCTGGGATGAAAAAGGATTCTACGATCGCCTCCGATGGGACCTCATCTTAGGGAAGGCCCTGGATCTAGATGTCCCGCCTTGCTATCTTGCTCTGGAGTTGCAGATGCATATGGCGGTCAGATTTCTTCGAGATGGGGGGGGGGCTACTCGCCCCCTGTAGACCCAGAGCTGTCACTCATTCCAGGTAGTAGTGGTGCTGTCGACTTAGGAAGAGCTGCCCTGCACCGTGTTTGCGCGCAACTAGTCACTGGGGCTCCTGCGGAGCCGAGTCTGCACACTTGGGTGGATGACATTGTGCAATGCATGCACGGCGCAAGTGAGTTAGTTTTCAGGCAGCTCTCAAGTGCGGGGCTGAAGCTTGCCCGTTGTCTCGAGCAGGCTCACCTTTCCATGGCCAGTAAGTCGTGCATCATCTGTTCGAGCACCAGTGTCGCCAAGCAGTTGCAGCAGTTTTTCAAGGGACACCAAATAGACATCCAGGTCAAACTAGTCTGTGCAGACCTAGGCATAGACCGAGGTAGAGTCGGGGCGTCCAGGCCGGAGCAGGCAGCACGTAGGCAAGCCGCAGTTAAGCGTTTGGGTAAGCTTCAGAAGCTTGCTGCAGGCAACATGTTATGCAAGAGGTGGGCGAGGAAGATGGCCCTCACGGCTGCCTTTGCCAAGTCACGTTATTCTGACAAGGTGCACGGCACTGTCCCCCACGTCGTCTTGAGGGGGCGTCGGTCGTTGGGTCGGTTGACGGGGGGAGTCGCTAAGGGGGGTAGGTGCCTCACCACGCTGTTAGCGCTTGAGTATGGGAGGAGGGGTCCTGCCTTCCTCGCTCTCTTCGACACGATCGAGGCATGGTTCCTGGTTTTAACGGATCGCAGTGTCCATGCTGAGAGGTTCCGCAGAGTCTGGAGAAAGGTTCTCGCGCGTCTGAGAGACAGGCCCGCCAAGCATAGGTGGAGAGGTGTCGCCACTCCAGCTGCGGCCACTATTGCCACTCTGCTAGATCTTGGTTGGGAGCCTTGGGGTCCGTGGGCTTGGGAGTGCGATCTTGGAGTTAGGTATGCTATTGACGAGTCCCTGCTCGGGCGGGGTAAGGTAGATCTGGCTGTCATCAAGGAGGCTCTGGCAGCTAGCATGGAACGCAAGTTGTTGTCTGCTGCCGCACATAATTCGTGGAACGGCGAGGGCCTCGAGTTGGTCCCAGATCTTTTTGATTTCAGAAGGGACCTCATGGGGGCTTAAGCAGAGAGGCAAACATGAGTGGGCTGACATCCTGCGCGCGGTCGCCACGGCACGGGCAACAGTTGGACCCGTTGCCGCATGCAGGAGTGTAACATGTCGCAGGACAGCCGCTGTCGCAGATGCTGGCATGTGCTCGAGTCAGACCTTCACAGAGCTTGGGAGTGCCCCAAGAATGCAGATTTTTTGCCAGGTCTCAGATTTCGTTGTTCGCAGAGCCAGAGCGGATGCAGAGCACGATCCCAGTTTTTGGATCAGAGGGCTGACGCCCAGTTCTTGGACCGCCGTCCCACCGCCACCAGAAGTTGCTGATTTCCGTAGGTTGGGTGGTGACCTGGGTGAAGCCGTTGTGAACGGTTTTGTTTTCGGTGGTGGGGGCGCGAGTGGCTGCCGGGATACTCAAGATCCTATGATTCGTAGAGTTGCCTGGTCTTGGGTGGTGCTGAGAGGGCTGGACGAGGGCGGTCAGTACTCGATCGAAAGCCTTCGCACGCACGCCGCTGGATTTGGCAACGTCCCAGGGTCGAGGCAGTCGGTCAACCGAGGCGAGGTTTTGTGCTTGGTTGAGTTCGTGCGCGCGGTGTTTCCGACTGCCTCCGCCTATTTTGTCACGGGATTTTCGTATGTTGTTAATAATTTTGCCAAGTTAAGGGCAGGGATCAATCTTCAGTCTCACCTCGACGTGTGGCGCCAGCTCAGAGCTCTCATTCAGACGCACCCCGAACGAGGATTGGTCGTGGTCAAGGTTGACAGCCACAGGAGTGCCGAGCACGTCTCAGCCGCAGGTGCGGGTCAGCTGCACTACCTAGTCAAAGAAGTTGCAGACCGTATCGCCAGCTCGTGGGCGGATAATTTGTGCGTGCCTGACAAGGGCCGAGACAGCAGGTCCTTCGCCCAAGGGATAGCTTTCCAGGTTCGGGACCACCTCGGGCACACTCTGCTGTCTGCGATTTGGGCGGACGGGGGCGGGGCCTCTCGGGAAAAAGGTTGTGCAGCGTCATTTCAAGCAGAGTATGATCCAGTTGGATCTCACTGCTCACACGCCAGAGGAGGGTAGGAGGCACCGCATCCAATGTGAAGTTTGTGGAGGCTCGGCCCCGCGCTCCCTGGCTCGTCAGTTCTTGAGCACTCCTTGCCATGCTGGTCTGTTCAATGGAGTGGTTATGATACCACAAGGAGCTGTGGTGAATGGTCAAAGGTTGCATCCGTCCTACATGTTAGGTTACAGCAAGGCATGGGGCACCACAGTTTGTTTCACGTGTGGTTTCATTTCGGCCATGGCGGTTCGCAATTTGAAGCATCAGTGTGCTGGTCGCCTCAGTGACTATGGCCCCAGGATGCTGAAGAAGGTTGCCAAGGGACAACCTCCTGGAATAAGCCGGTGGGCACGCCAGAACCAGGTCGTCAAGACCCGCAGGCGGAAGTGATTGTACAGTTTGGCATTGCCAGGATCAAATCAACAAAGTTATCTTGGGCTATCTAAGGCCGCTCGAGGGCCTCTTGGGGGCCTCTTGGGTGCCCCTCGGGGCCCTCTTGAGACCCTCTTGGGGCCCTCTTGGAGCCCTCTTGGGGCTCTTCTTGGGAGCCCTGGAGCGCCTCTTGGGGCCATCTTCGAGGCTATCGATCAAAGGAGGGGAGGCCCCGATCGACGCCCCCGCCCTCGGGGGCCACGATCCTTGTGATGGGGTGTCAAGCATTGGCCCTCCATGGGGCCGATATTGGACGCTCTAACGGATCGCGGCCCCTCCCGTCCAGGTCCAGGGGAGGGGGTAGGGGGAGGGGTCAAGAGTCTCCCCCCCCGCCCGCAAATCGCCGCGTTCACTCCCGCCCGCCCTCCCAACACATACGTAGCACCCGGGCCTGGGCCGAGCCGCAGCATATGCAGCAGTCGTCTTTGAATGGGCAGCTAATGGGGGCGCATCCGCCGCTGCCGCCGCCGCCGCCCACCGCCGCCGCTGCCGCGCCGCCGCCGCCGCCGCCGCCGCTGTTCGCCGCCGCTGCCGCCGCCGCCGCCGCCGCCGCCGCCGCCCGCCGCCGCCGCGCCCCCGCGCCCCACCGCCGCAGAAGCCGCAGCCGCTGCCCCTGCCGCCGCCGTCGCCGCCGCCGCCGCCCCCGCTGCCGAATCGCCGCCGCCGCAGCCGCTGCCGCCGCAGTCGCTGCCGCCACCCGCCGCCGCCGCCGCCCCGCCCCCGCCCCCGCCGCCGCCACCGCCGCCGAAGCCGCAGCCGCTGCCCCCGCCGCGACCGCCGCAGCCGCCGCCGCCGCCGCCAATTTTTTTTTTTTTTTTTTTTTTTTTTTTTTTTTGTTTCTCCTCCTTTTTTTGGTTGACAGGGGTGGTGGGAGGAGGCCGCATCGGGTTCGTTGCGCATGTTCCGAATTTGGAGGCAGAGTGTGCTTTGGTGTGTTTTTGTGGATTGTTTTTTGCAAGGGATGGTTGGGGCAGAGTGTGTTTTGTATTGTTTTTTGCCAAAGGGATGGTGGGGGGGGGGCGCGTTGACCTGGGTTGGCTCCCAGTCGCTTGGGGGCAGGGGTGTAGATTAATATGGAACAGTGACCAAGACACCTTCTCCACACGCAAGCCGTCTAGTTCACCCCCATCCGCCCTACCACATAAGTGGCATCCGAGTCTCGGCATAGCCAGGGGTCGCCATTGGATGGACAGCCATTGGAAACCAAAGCGGACGCCAGATGCGCGACGCTCGCCGCGGGTTGCACATGCAGTTGGTGTGCCATCATTGCGCAACAACTTGATGCCCCCCCGTCCGCATGGTCCAGATGCTGATGTGGGGGGCGTCAGCATCGTTCTGGGCATGCGCCTAGCAAACATTATCATGCGGGCACCACCGCCGTCCCGTCCCTGTCAAAAAAGAAACACTACAAAGTGATCCCGGGTGGCCAGCACAATACCCACGACGTTGTCGCAACGTGCAGTTTGCATTGTTTTTGACACGTATGGTTCTCCTGAACAAATCGGCTTCATTAAGGGTGCCCCGCCATCCCAATCAAAAAACAACATTTTCCCGGCAAAGCAACCTAACAGCGATGTGTATAAGCATATTTGGAAGCATTCCCCCTCAGATTCACCTTGTCTCACCTTCGGCCTGCCTCGGCCTCATCCTCAGCCTCAGCCTCAGTCTCAGCCTCAGCCTGCCTCGGCCTGAGCCTGCCTCGGCCTCCGCCTCAGCCTGCCTCAGCCTCAGCCTGCCTCAGCCTCAGCCTCCGCCTGCCTCAGCATCAGCCTGCCTCAGCCTCAGCCTCAGCCTCAGCCTGCCTCGGCTTGCCTCGGCCTCAGCCTCAGCCTGCCTCGGTTTCAGCCTCAGCCTCAGCCTCAGCCTCAGCCTCAGCCTCAGCCTGTCTCAGCCTCAGCCTGCCTCAGCCTCAGCCTCAGCCTGCCTCAGCCGCAGCTTGCCTCAGCCTCAGCCTCAGCCTCAGCCTCAGCCTCAGCCTGCATCAGCTTCAGCCTCAGCCTCAGCCTGCCTCGGCTTGCCTCAGCCTCCGCCTCAGCCTGCCTCGGCCTCAGATCTCCGCGGCTCTCGTGCCCAGCTGATCGTGGACTGGCGACCGCGCTGGAGGCGGCCGCCACGGCCAGAGCGAGTCGGTCCTCGTGCGGTTCTCCTCCATGGCGGCCGCCTGCCCGGTCGCTTCGCGGGCGCGCTCTTACAGGGGGGCCGGGGGCCATTGCCGCGCATCGAACTCCACGCCCAGCTCGTCCTTGATGGCGAGGCCGCCCTGCGTGAGTTGCAGGCCTATGCGTTTCAGGGCGAGCACCAGCGCCGCCACAGGGTCACGCACTGCCGACCATTGCCTCTGGCTATGCTCGAGCCTGAGGCTGGGCTCAAGGCAGGCCGTGATCGCGGAGCGCCAAGCCTGGCGCGCCCAGGCTGACGTAGGCCTGCGCTGCCATGCCCGTCGCTATGACCAGGGGGTCCCGGCGCAAGCCACCTGCGCAGCACTGCAGCGTGACGCTGAGCGCTGCTTCTGGGGCCAGCCGTCCTGCACTCGTGGCCGCCGCCACCCGCGGGGCCCGCGCGCGGCCGGGCGGCGCTCCGGAGGTAGCAGAGCCCTGCCCTCGTCGCCCGAGCTCGTCGCAGCCCTGGGCCAAAGATCCGGCCCGTGCGAGGCGCCTGCCGCCGGGCTGCAAGCTCTCGCGACACTTGCGTGGTCACCCTGCGGTGGGCCCCCGCCGTCGCATCGCCTCGAAGGTCACGGTGCTCCGAGACGAACGCGCCCGCGGGGAGCGGCCGGCTCTCTTGCGCCGGCAGCGCCCTTTGCAGGTCGACCCGCGGCGCCGGCACGTTGGGCTTGCTGCAGTTGATGGGCAGGCGCTTGTCGCGCAGCGTGGACACAACCCTTGTGGCGAACTGGCTGATCTGGCGGACCAGGATCTGCCTCGTGCCGATGCCATCCCCCGCCACATCGTCGATCGCGTTGACCGCTCGTCCAACCTGGAGGAGGGCGCGACCGCGAAGCAGCAAGTCGTACAGCATCAGACGAGCCATCGTAGTCGCGCAAGAACAGCTTGCAATCGCCGGCCCTTTCGCGCAGATCTCCTTGCCGATGGCGCCGACCGCCGTGGCGCGCCTGGGGCATGCGTAGGCAACGCTGAGCGCCTTTACCAGGCAAGGGCTGAAGCCGCTCGCCTCGGCGGTCTGGGGGAGCAGCTGGTGGTCAATCCACTCGTAGAACTTGCTAATCTCGAAGTAGACGGGCACTCCTTCGAAGCCCTTCGAGCGCGCCAGCCCGAGATAGAAGTTGTGCAAGTAGGCCGCCCTGTCGCAGCTGGTATCAGAGTTGCTGCCCGAACTCTCCGGCAGCTCGTACTCGGTCTTTCATTTGGCGCAGCACCGCCTACGCATGCGACCCCACAGCCGCAGCCAGAAGGGTATCAGCCCGATGGGGCTCTTGCCGCCGTCGGGCTGCGCCAGGAATGCGATCAGCGTCGCGACGAGACCTGAGGGTCTGGGATCGCTCTCCCAGGCTGAAAGCAGTGCCGCCGCGCGGGCTGCAAAAGGCTGGCCCAAGAGCAGCAGCAGCCGCGGGTGGATGCCGTCCCTGCCCATGGCGGTCTTCTTGGGAAAGGTCTTAGCCGCCTCGATCACCTCTCCCTCAGGCGGGGTCCCTGCCTGGCATCCTTCGCCCAGGACTGAGAACTTCTCCTCGTGCTGCCGCTTGCTGACAACATGCGCTCCGCTGCCTCCTGCGGCCAAGGCGTCGTCCGCAAACTCCGTCCAGCGGCGCCGCGCAATATGGGCGTCAGACTTGGCGTGTCTGGCTGAGGCAGCCTGGATGGCCCCCAAGAAGAAGCCGCCCTCCCGCGTGGACGATTCGACTTCTTCCAGCAGCAGCCGCATGCTCGCGGGCGTGAACATGTCGCAGCCCTGCTGGGTGAAGTGCGGCACCAGCGCGAGAGCGGTCTCCCCCGATGCCCTGGCGGCGGAGCCAGGGCCGCTGCTGCCGCCGACAGCTGCCTCGAGAGCCTCCCCAGGGACATCCAGAGCCTGGTCAGCGGGCTGACTTCCTGGCCGTCTAGGTGCGCTGGAGGTCTCTCCGGCTCTTCTGGGCTCTGCGGACGCCGCGAGACTTGCCGCGGTAGGCTCCGCCATCTTGGAATCTCGAACAGCCTGATCATGTGCGCCACCGCCACATCGATGAACTCACGCACCGCTTCGTCGGGAAGTCCTCGAGCATCCCGAAGGGGGGCCTGCCGCTGCACTTCTTGGCTAAGGTCAGCCGCTCGAGCCTTCACCTCAGCCGACACCTTCTGTTCGACGTCGAACCTCCGCGGGGGCTGCAGCATCCAGACCTGGGCCAGGGCGCCCAGCTTCGCGAAGGAGAGGCGCACGGGCACGCGCGGGTACGTCGTCGTCGGCCTCAGAGCCTCGACCTGGGGCGCGAGCGCCGCCAGCGCAGCCGAGACGACGAAATAGTCGTACTTCTTGCCGCTGCAAGTCGGCCGCGGTGACTCCAGCACGGCTCCCCCGACCGAGCGAGGCCACCGCGACTCCGACAGCTCCTGCGGCTCCATGTTCCAGTCACCCGCCACAATGAAAGGCTCATTAGCGGCGTCGAGAAATTCCTGGACCGTGCCGAGCAGCTCGAGGTTGACCCCCGCTAGCTTCGCGGAGTGCTCCAGGTAGACGCTGGCCACCACGGCGACCCGACGCGCGATCACCCGATGCGGGAGATCTTCCCTGGCCCGCTCGAATTGCGCCACTCCTCTGAAGCTCGCCATCAGGGCGCCACCCCCTGACGAGACCTCCTGCGCCAGCTGGCCCGCGCGCGTGCAGGGGCCGAAGGCTGCCTGGAGACCGCTCCCCGAAGGCCAGCTCCGCGCTGAGGAAGTCGCGGGCGCCCCTGTGGAACGGGCCTCCTGCACCAGGAAGACATCGTCCTGGGCGCCCCCGTCTCGGATCTGCTCGATCGCCGTTCTGGTCCCTGCCCGGGTGGAGCCGTTAATCGTGATCAAACTGGCCGCCGATGCCGTTCGGGGGAGCGCCTCTGGAGGAGGAGGAGGAGGAGGAGGAGGAGGAGGGGTCTCTGCCCGGGTGGAACCGTTAATCGTGATCAAACTGGCCGCCGGTGCCGTGCGGGGGAGCGCCTCGGCCAGTTCGAGCTGGGCCGCTCTGCCAGACCTGCCTCGTGCTGCGGGGGCTAAAATACTGCGGTTGCTCGCCAGCCGCCGCCGTTGCGTGGCCCGAAGGTACCGTCGCCAGAGGACCCAGGTCGCGTGCCTCCTCCTCCTCCTCCTCCTCCTCCTCCTCCTCCCCCTCCTCCTCCTCCTCCTCCTCCTCCTCCTCCTCCTTCTCCTCCTCCCCCTCCTCCCTCTCCTCGGCACCCGAGACCACGGCCCTGCGGCTGGCGGGAGGCGCTCCGCCTGCCCACGCTCAGCGGCTTGCGCCACCCCGCCCGCCAGGTCCAGGTCTGAGTCGGAGTCGAGCTCGCCGACATCGATGGGGCAGGTGTCGCTCCAACGTCCACGGGCGCTGGTAGCTGGTGAAACTCTCGCGGTCTGCAAAGCGTCTTTCGACTGCCTGCGGCTGCCGCATGGTCGACTGCCACGCGTCATCAAAGTTGCCCGCTTGGTGCGCCGTTGGAAGGGCCCGCAACTACAATGACAGCCCCCGCACAGCCTGCAGGTCGTCCTGCGAGACCTGCAGCCGCTCCTGCTGGGTCTTCGCTGCTGCCGCCTCCTCCTCCGGATCGGCCACCTTCGTGCCTCGTTGAGGCGTTCCTCGGCCTCCGCCAGCCGATCTGCGGCTGCCTGCGCTGCCTCTTCAGCTGCTGCCACCGCGGCGTCAGCCGCCTCGAGCGCCCTGCGCGCGGCCGCAGCCCTGCGCTCTGCCTTGCTGGCCCTGTCGGCTGCCCTGCGCAGGCGCGCCGCGGGGGACAGGCCAGCCTCCTTGTCGCGAGCCAGGTCGGCGGCCGCCCGGTCCTTCTTGGCGCGAAGGGCGGCCAGCTGCTCAGCCGCAAAAGCGTCTTCCTCGCCGCCGAGGCTGGGCCGGGCCTCCAGGTGGGCGATTGCTCGCTCCAACTCTGCCAGGCAGGGTCCCTTCGCCTGGCTGCCTCCACTTGGGCTGCCCTTGCTGCTGCTGCCGCCACTGTTGTCCACGTCCGAGGCCTTGCTGGCCCAGGGTGTGGCTGCGGCTCGGGCCTTGCGGCGCCCCTTCTTGCCCTTGCCCGCCTCGGCGAACCCTCCCGCGTCGGGCGCAGGTTTGCCGTCGCCCGCCGAGACCCGCTCCCGCGCCCAGGGCGGGGCCGCGGCGCAGCAGCCAAAGCGCCGCCCTCTGGTTGCGCAGGACCGCTGCCTGCAGGAACACACCCAGTACGCTCCGCTCCAGGCGCCGCCGCCAGTGGCGCCGCTAGTGCCAGCGCCAGGGGAAGCACCGCCCCGCGCCGGAGCCACCATCCCTCCGCGGCCGCCCGACTCACGCCCTGACTCCGGCTCAAAAGTAGTAATGCGAAAAAGGGCTTGTTTGGAAGGGGATACTGTAAGAATTGGGGCGCTCTGGGTGAATCTGTTCCTATTAGGAATGATATATAGATATGGCCTCATACATATATATATATATATACACTTCCCACCGATATACGTATACCAATATATAATTCTCACCGATCTATATATATATAAAGATGTACACCCCCACCGAATTATTATATACTTACATACGCATTTATTACATTTATCATAACATATGTATACAGTGTGTAGACATGCGGTCGAATTATTAAATACGTGCGGCTGAATTATTGTATACGTGCGGCCGAAGTGTTATATACGCGCCCAGGTTTTCATATATATATATGCATTTATGTATATATAATTCTATATATGTGAGACTTGGCACACATTTAAGCGTTCTGGTTCACAGGGCGTATTTTTTCATATATATATATGTATACAGCGAAGTGTTTTTATTATGTTACTTAGGTCTTATATGTATTCATACGACAGATGATATATGAATGTGTACCACATCGTATATGTCATGACGCTGGCGCCATACGACTTAGCCCGATACATTCATATATAGATATTCGTATTGGTTGTACGAGCTTCGCGCAATATTTGTTTGTTGGGGCGCTTGTATATAACTTAGGCGCAGAATTTTTATAAATATATGGAGATATGCAAATACATAGAACGTGGTTTCCTTCACGCAGGTTCCAAGGTTTCTCGGGGCTCTTTCCCTGCTGCGGCGTTTGCGTTTATATGCGCGTGTATGCTACATGTAGATTGAGCATATATACATTTATACACGCATATCTACATGTCCACTGAGAAGCGTACCGCGAGATCCCAACGACCATTCAGGAGGCTTCTGAGCCATCACCCAGGCACGGTGGCGGGATAGGCCGAAGGCCACTATATATCATATCCCATCGACTGCTTCAACAAATGGGGGGGATGGGCCAGGGCGCGTGCCGTCGGAAGGGGGGTTTCGGTTTGGGTTCGTCGTTCTCGTCGTCGCCGTCGCCGTTGCCGTCGCCGTCGCCGTGGCCGTCGCCGTCGCCTTCGTCGTCGTCGTCGTCGTCGCCGTCGCCGTCGCCGTTGCCGTCGCCGTCGCCGTCGCCGTTGTCGTCCTCGTCCTCGTCGTCCTCGTCCTCGCCGTCCTCGTCGTCGTCGTCGCCACCGCCGCCGCCCTCGGCGTTTCAGGGCATGCATTTTCACACCGCCTCCGGGGAAAGCCGTCGGGCCGTCAGCCGCGCGACCGGCGTGCGGCAACGTCAACGGGGGTCCGCCCTTCCGCCATCCTCATCCTCCATCCTCGTCGCCGTCCTCCTCCTCCTGCCCTTATCCCATTGCTTCTGCTCTGCTTCCCCACCGTCGGTTTCTGGATCAAGGCCGCACCTGTGGCCGCCCCGCCTCTCCCCATGGGGTCCCATGTCTGCGCCACTGAACGTTGTTCTGCTGCAGGCAGTGTATTTTCACGCTTCCTTGTATGATGATGCAGTTGCGGTGCACAACCTCCTCGGGATCCTGGATGCTTTTCGTGGTGATCCATCGTTGTTGGATAGTCTGGATGAGGTGTCAACCCAGAGGTGGATCATAACCAGGTCGCGCAGCAGAGGTGTTTTTTTTTGTCGGTTTCAGCGTCGGTCAAGTATCCAAAGTGGGATCTGGACGTCATCCCGTTGCTGCTAGAGTTCGTGGGCATCGTCATCCGCCCTGACGAGTGGGAGATGCTCCGGATAGGTTCAACGGGTCTCAAGTTGCCTTCGTGCCCGATTCCTCCACCCCTTCTTCCGTCTCCTGGAGGAATGAGGATGGGGGGGGGGGGGGGGAGGGCATGGGAGGAGGGCTAGAAGGAGGAGGGGGATAATATTTAAGGAGAAAGAGGAAGAGGAGGGGGGGAGGAAGAGGGAGGGGGAGAGGGCAAGCTAGGTGCGCTCGCGTCATATCTGACGTCCTACCCCTCCCTCCCATCCCTTTGCCATGGCGCTGATTTTCTCTATCCGCGGACGCGTGTCGTAGCGGACCTGTGGCTCCGCGCGCGCGTGCGTAGTGGGTGGCGGTGCGCGTGCGTGCGTGCGCGCGTGTGTGCGTGGCGGTGGTGGTGGTGGTGGTGGGGGTGGTGGTGGCGGTGCTGCTGGTGGTGCTGGTGCAGGTGGTGGTGGTGGTGGTGGTGGTGGCTGGTGCTGTGGTGGCGGTGGTGGTGGTGGTGGTGGTGGTGGTGGTGGTGTGTGTGTGTGTGTGTGTGTGTGTGTGTGTGTGCGTGTGTGTGTGTGTGTGTGTGTGTGCGTGTGTGCGCGTGTGTTAGGGCATGGCACGGGAAATGACGCCAGCGCGGCAGCGGGAGCGCGAGTCGAAACGGGCGGAAGCGCGGAAATGACGCCAACGTTGCAGCGGGAGCACGATTCGGAACGAGCGGAAGCACGGAAATGAGGCCAGCGCTGCAGCGGGAGCACGATTGGGAACCAGCGGGGCCCGGAAATGAGGCCGGCGCCTCAGCGAGAGCAGCATTTTGGAAAAAAAAAACACAAGCGAAAACCCAACTCCGGGGAATCCTGTGTGTAAAAAAAACAGTACGCGGGGGGGGTGCCGAATATCTTCCGGACGCCATCAGGGGAAGTGGGAGAGTAGCATTCATATTGTGTAATTGTAAAGAGAGAAGGGCGAAGGAGCGGGGATGGGAGAGGGGGGGGAGGGGGAGGGAGAGGGGGGAGAGGGGGGAGAGTGGCCGGGAGAGGGGGGCCGCCCGCCGCCCGCCCCTCAGATTTGGAACGAGCCGTTCGCGATCGCCTGGATCGAGAACGCCTTGCAGCTGAGGGCGCAGAGGAGGCGGGGGAGGGCGGCGGCAGCGCTGGCCCCGGCGAGCGCGCGGTGGCGGCTGTGGCGAGGCGTCTTCCTCCTGCTCCTCCTTCTCCTCTTGCTCTTCGGCGCTCCTCGCCCCCCTCCCCCCTTCTCGCCCTGGGTTTTCCCTCCGCGAGGCGTCGACAGGCTCGCGCGTCGAGGGCGATCGTCGGCCTGCGGAAGGCCAATAAGGCGGCCAACGCCAAGATCGTGGAGCTGGAGCGCAAGCTGGCAGAGATGCAGGCTCGGTTATAAGAGTTGAATGAGGATGGGGAGGAGGAGTTAGAGGATCAGGATAAGGAAGGAGGAAGAGAAGGAGGAGGAGGGGGGGGAGGAGGAGGAGGAGGAGGAGGAGAAGGAGGAGGGGTGAGCCCAGGGATGAGGAGTTCGTCGTCGTCTTCCTCGTCGTCGTCGTCTTCGTCATCGTCGTCCTCCTAATTTCCTTCGCCCCGTCCACCCACCCCGTCCACCCGGGGCCCTCGCGCGGGCCATGCCCTGGCCATTCTGGACCTCTGGCGGCCGACGCGCGCCCCCCGTCCCCGTTGCCTCGGGTCCGGAGGTCTCGTGGCACTCGCGCCAGCCAGCCAAGGGCCCTCGATGGCGCGGGCCATAGGCCATGGAGGGGGGCAGGAGGGGTTCTGGAGCCGAGGCTCATGCGATTGTCCCGTGGTCTAGCTGGGGCATGTCCTACGCGCGCATGCCTGCGCACCGGGGCTGCCACGTTGCCCTTCGGCGCACGCTCGCCAACATTGCGGCGTCCAAGACGGCATTGACGCTTGGCATTGACGCGCATCATGGGACGATATGTTATTGGGAGATCAAGGCAGCTGCCAGTTTGTTGGGGCCCTGCAGGCGTTTCCAGGCTTGGTTGATTGAGTATTTGAGCTTGCAGGGCAATGATGGGAGCCCGTTCTCATCGTTTCGGTATTTCAGGGTTCGTCGCGGCGCCGCGAATACGGCCCTGTGGCAACGCGAGCAAAAGTTTCACGGCCTCAGTGTGCAGTGGAGCTTCAAACTACCAGGCCATAAGAAAATAGACGCGGGCAGGACCAGATTCGCCGACCTTCTCCCCTTGCCTGGAAATGCGCCAGGGATATTGGAGGGCGCGATTAAAAAGCAGATCAAATCAA